CGTTACATTATAATCAACGAAAATCGTTTTCCCCTAACATTCATTCATCGTGTCAAAGAAAAAAACTTCGCCATTCATAAAAATTTTGGAGTCCAATGACTCCAATATGAAATTTCATTAATATCAAGTTATGCATGGTGTATTAGCCGAAAAAAAACGGGAAATTTTGAATGAACGAAACCAAAATCTTTACGTGGTCAGCATGGCAAATTGTGTGTGTGTAAAATTGTGAATATTGAAAATTAGCATTGTGACCCCTTTTGTGATTAGATGTCAGGATGGCTAACCCTGCATTGTTTCTTTTTTTTTGTATGTGTTTCCCCTAATTCCATACAGAGTTGGTAATTATGTTATAAACATTTTCATGTTGATATAGCTCACATACATACATACATACATGTTTGTTGTTCTTATTTTGTGCATAATAATTAAAATAAAATCAAGATAAAGTAGTGGCATAATTGGAAATGATTAAAAACTTCACTCCTTTTGGCAAAAACGACGGCAGCAAAAACAACACCATGGGTCATGTTGGTTAACAACCAACTGGCCAGCTAGCGTACGGACATTCCCCTCCGCTGGCAAATTCTCTGCCAATGTTGGCATGTGGAAAAGTCATTTTCTTTGCCATTAAGTCATTTGACACTGTATCATGCAATGTTTGAGAATCGAAATATTTTCACTAGAATTTTCTTGCTGTTTGTTTTTTTTTTGTGGTGGTTTCACTTGAGGTCCCGAAATATGTTGCATGTTTTTTTTTTTGGAATTCAAATAAAGTTGTATGTTCATAAAAAGATATGTTCGAACATTTTGTGATTGTTTTCACATACTCCAAAATAATTTTTGGGAAAAGTGTTAAGGATAAAAAAATTTGGAATTTTAATTTTCAATGAAATTCTCTCAAAGTATGCCTTTAGTTAAGGGGGAAATTGGATATTATTTTTAATTTTTCTTGGCAAAAGTTTTAAGGATAAACCAGTGTCGGACGAGGCCGACCATACGATACCCTACACAACTACTACGGAACTCTTCCTTTCTGTGGCTGTTTATTTCGAACCTGGGCAATATTTCGTGATATTTGCTCCCTCTAGCCTGATTAGAGGTCAACAGTATCTGACATATTTTCCGAATATTACTATTCATATTCAGTACAGATTCTCTTCACCGTGGGTTGTGTTGTGATTTTCGACCTACACTGCGTATCATAACTATAGACGCACCCCTAATTCAATTGGTATGTTAGTTGAGAAATAAAATGGACCCATTAAGTTATTGTTCACAATAAAACGATCAAAAACACATATTATTCAACAAAAATAATTAATTTATTCTTTATGGTTTCGCCGAATTCTGCACTTTCAAAATTGCTGGTGTTGCATAACTTGGCATTTACAAAATTAGAAAAATTATTTTTTTTAAACTTTTAAAATAACTTTTATAAATAATGGCAAAAGTTTTAAGGATAAACCAGTGATTCTGCGATTTTAACCATACTTGAGTATGGCGACTTTTATGAACTGGTGCGTTGTCCTGCTAAAAAACGAGTCCTTGATTGTTGCTACATTCCCAAAATTGCAATAATTTGTCTTCGGACGAGTACTCCATTGAATTCCCTACAACATGGAAGTGTCAAATAAAGCATTCCGTGGCTATAAAATGCTCCCAAGGTGGCGGTTACCTAAATATCGTTATTTCTTAATACGATATTTCGGTGGTGGTTCCTTAATGGACTTGGGAGCATTTTATAGCTTTTATTTGGCATTTCCATGTTGTCGAATGAATTCAATGGAGTACGTTCAAGCCTTGGAAGACAAATTATTGCAATTTTGGGAAAGCAGCAACAATCAAGGACTCGTTTTTCAGCAGGACAACGCACCAGTTCATAAAAGTCTGTATGGTTAAAATCGAAAAATATTAAAATTTCCGACCAGAATCCGATGAGAACATGTGTGGAATCTTGACTGCGTGTCTATGCCGAAAACCTCCAATACCAAACTGTATTTTACCTCCAAGAAGTGATTTTCGATGAATGACGGTCAATCGATGAAGACTTGCGAATAATTTTGATCGACAGTGTGATGGATAAATTTTTTGAACTTATTCAAAATAAGGGAGGTCCTACCCATTATTTATAAAAGTAATTTTATTTTATTTAAGTTTTAAAAAATAAATTTTTCTAATTTTGTAAAAGTGCGTCTATAGTTATGCAACACCAGCAATTTTGAAAGTGCAGAATTCGGCGAAACCATAAAGAATAAATTAATTATTTTTGTTGAATAATATGTGTGTTTGATCGTTTTATTGTGAACAATAACTTAATGGGTCCATTTTATTTCTCAGCTAACATACCAATTGAATTAAGGGTGCGTCTATAGTTATGATACGCAGTGTATTATTGGCATCGGCTCGAAAAAACACAAAAATAAATGGTATTCGGTCAATTTCATCCCATAATTATAATCTGATCATCACAGAAAGTTATAGGCGTTGTCCTTGACCATAACTGGAACCTCATGGAAAATTTCAAAGCGATCAGCGCTATATTTCCGTCCTCTAGTGTGGTAATGGGTTACTAAATAATATCTGAGTAGGTAAGCACCTGTAAATATTTAAGCGTAGCTCCCACTTCCGAGTACATACGACAATATAATTGGTATCAATTTAAAGGTCATCCACTTCTCTTCAGTCATCCACTTTCGGGTCTATGTCCTTAACGGGCAAATATATACGTCATAGAATACAAATTTTGTAATTTTTCTCACAAAAGTCAGAGTCCATTTGACCCGCTAAATATTGCCCGATCTTTATGAAAACAGGCATGCTTATTCTTTGGCCCGACCCCCTTCTCCCTGTGAAAATTCTCGAAGTTTACGCCATAATTGCGGCCTCTAGAACAACCGCAAAAACCGACAAAAAATAAGTATTTGGTCCATTTCATCCCCTAAATATTAACAGATCTTTATCAAAAAAAAATAGGGGTCTTCATTGGCTAGAACCCATCCTACATGCAAAATTTCGTAAAGATTGGTCCATAAATGTGGCCTCTATCGTGTTTTCAAATTATAATGGACAGACGGACGGACACACATGTCTAGATCGACTCAGCTAGTCGAGATATGACGATCGGTATACATAAAGGTGGGTCTAGGACCAATATTTCGCGGCGTTACAAACTTTCGGGGCTGCACAAAGCTATAATACCCTGACAACATAGTTGTGTAGGGTATAAAAACATGGAATTTAAATATTGAATAAAATTCTCAATTTGGTCATCTAAGGAGAAATTTATGTATCCCTTTAGTTACAGGAGAAATTTGATATTATTTTTAATTTTTCTTGGCAAAAGTGTTAAGGATAAAAAACATGATATTTAAATTTTGAATGAAATTCCCAATCACTAAAAAGGAATGGGTGAATTCATTCAATGGCAGGAAAAATTGCACAAATTTTATATTAAACGTAATGAAATTTCTGTTTCTGCCCTTTGCATATCACAACTGCATATCCCTTTACGATGTTACACATTTTTCTTCTTCTTCCACAAGCTGCAATTTTATAACATAATCATAATAAATTTCAATTACCCCTTTTTCAAAAGCTAGGGAATTACATTATAGGTAATACCTCTGCCAAAAGGACAAACACCCTTACCTTGCCATTTATGTTGCCACTCGATGTTGCAACTAAAGCTCAGTCATAATATTAGGAATTGTTGTATTTTTATGATGATGATGCATGTCCAGGCCGTTAGTCAATTTGATTTGTGAGAGTGCATGAGTGTGTTTGTGTGTGTAATTGTAAAAATGCATTTACTGGCCATCGTTGCAACATGCAATGCCAGACAATGAGTGCAACATTTTTTTGTGTGCTTGGTACACAAATGAGCAAAGGTTTATGGTTATTTTTTTCCTGTTTGACACACCCCTTGGTATGCAACTTCTAAGAATTATTGTTCTCCAGGGAGGGAGTTAACACTACGATATGTTAGATGTTTCACCTAATGCTGGACGTTGAGGGATGTTGTGAATGCAGTTTGTTGGTTGCATGGAAATGCAATTTTTAGGCAAATTTTTAAAATGGTTATGGTGCGGAAGGGCAGGACGATATTTATGGTCAGCTTCTAATAGCTATCGGGAATACAAATTTTGTTATTTTTATTTTATAAATAACCAAATATATTTTTATTAAAGATTAAACTTATCTTTTTATCCAATTCCTCAAAAAATATTAACACTATTTCTATTAAACTTAAAACACATAAATATATCCCTTGACATAAAAATCGCCCACAGACTTTATTACAATTTTGTTTTGAGCCTACATCTAAATACGCTTTCCAAATGAGAAATTCCTAGATTTGGGGCAATTTGTCGTCGGTAGGGAGTTAACCTGGTCCTGGTATTTTGTGCGTATACAAAACGTTGGGTAATTAAAATGTTTGTTGTGTTGCCATGTTTATTGTTATCCAAATATAAATAACTAAAACGGTAGTTTGCCATGGTCACACATGTGTGGCTAACTCACACACACACACATTCCAACATATTGTCTTCAAATGGGCTTGCATTTTTCCCAACACCCCCCTAATGTAGATAATTGAAATATATGATTATGAATATTTATTGTCGAGTCGAGTGACTGTGTCCGTGTGTGTGACTGCCTGCTAGAGGGGTAATTAAAATCAAAATAAATGTGTACAAGTGGCCCACTCCCACTTGGATGGAAATGCCAAAAAAAGGGGTCCAACAACAACGTTTGATATGTAAATTAATGAAATGTTTTTTTGGAAGTGTTGTTGTTATTTCGGGTTATTAATTGCGTTTTGTAGTTTTGGAAATGGGAATTTTGATAATATTTTTTGCTTCGGGGACCTGTGTAGGATAGTAGAGTAATAATAGTTTTTCGGACTCTAATTAAAATGTATATGTTTTGTTATCACTTACTAAATATGGTTATTAATTTTATATATTTTCTTTTGTTGTGTGTGTGTGCTCTTTCAGGTTTTTCTGCCGACGGCGATGATGAAAGCAGTGCCGCCAAACGCCGCCGTTCCCGCACCAATTTCAATTCATGGCAACTGGAGGAATTGGAACGAGCCTTTTCGGCCAGCCATTATCCGGATATTTTTATGCGTGAAGCATTGGCCATGCGTTTGGATTTGAAGGAGAGTCGTGTTGCGGTAAGTTTAGTTTTAAATGAAGGGAATATTTTTATTTTTTTATTAAATTTTCATTTTTATTGATCGATCAAATTGTATGCGTTTTATGTCTTTTTGGGGATTATATAAATAACTTTGAATATATACACAGAAAGTAATTCGATTATATGAATAGGGTTCAGAAAATATAGATGTCAGGATTTCTGCATTTTATGAATGCAATTCATAAAACTTTAAATATTGGTTTCTTGTCAGAGAGAGAGAGAGAGAGAGAGAGAGAGAGAGTGAAAAAAAAACTTTGGAGTGTGTATTTTTCTATGATACAGAAATTCTTTGTCATTTTAAAATAATTCGTATATTATATGAATAGTGTTCTGAAAATATAGCTTATGTCGGGATTTCTGCATTTTATGATTGCAATTCATAAAACATTAAATACTGGTATCTTGTAGAGATACGTAAGTCGACTTTCGACTAATCGATTAATCGACTTTTGGCATTGAAAAGTCTAAAAGTCGAAGTTGATCTTTGACCATGGGAAAAATTGGAAAATCGACTTTTGGTGATCGACTTTCGATTTTCTTATATTTTTGAATAATTGTCACAGGATCGAAAAGTGAGATCTTCCCAAATTGCGACTTTCTCATGATGATGTAAACTACATTATGAAAAAAATTAATTGTGTATGGAATTATGAAAATATTCATTAACATTTTTTTCTGTACATAGACTTGTTGGAAGATAGGTCTTCAGCTTTTTGCTTAACAAATGCTAATCAACATACAATTTTCAGCTAGTTTGTATATATCTTTAGCGTTTACTCGATTTATTTATCATTTTTGTAATTTTGTAATTTCCCTAAAATCTCCACGGTTTTCTAATATTATACGCTTTGTTTCAGATAGGTATGGTTCCAGAATCGGCGTGCCAAAGTTCGAAAACGTGAGCATACCAAAAAAGGACCCGGAAGACCTGCCCACAATGCCCAGCCTCAGACATGTTCTGGTGAACCCATCCCGCCCAATGAACTTAAAGCTAAAGAAAGGTAAGAAGAACTTAAAAAAATAACCAAAACTTTCCAATTCCCCCTGTGGAGAAAACCTCGGAAAAAAAGGATTTTTATCGATGATTTTTTAGAAGATCTTCAATAATAACGTTGAGGTTGCAAATGTTATATATAACTACCTAACTGAGGACAGCATATTTGATCAATTTATTTAATAGTCTTACGGGGGCATTCTTTTTTTAGAGGACTCTGCGTTCTTATAGCGATCGTGAGTCATTACTTCCTAAATAAAAATCCTTAATAGGTCTACCATTTATTTAAATCCTAATTATGCCACCTCCTTATTGAGAGCTTCTAAGAAGTCTCATTAAAGATCTTCTGAATATGTAGATGTGGATATGTAGACGAATATTAAACAATTATAGACATAACGTTTGGAAAACATTCGCTGGGTAATTTTGCAGGATATTTATATGAGATCTATGTATATTTTTCCAAAAAATCGAACTAAAAATTGTATTTAAGTTGAAAGGAAATACATTAAATCGGTCCGTATAGTTTTTCTTACAAAACATGCATCTTAATTAAACGATTTTTGCATAGAACCTTCAAAATAACGAAAATAGAGCCTATAGGCAGGCAGAAAGCAGGATGGCATCAATATCGATCAAATCAATATCGAATTTTACTCTAATATATTTTGAGATGTTTCCGACGAATTAACAAATTCAATATAAACTCCTTCTGTAGAGGTTACCTTTCCCTATATAATATTCTTTAAGGGGACCCCACAAATTTTCGATTTCGACGAGTCAGGAGATGTTGAGATTTTCGCTTGAAATTGTAAAGAGTCATTCTTGAGAAGTTATAGGTTCATATTACATACAAATGAAAAAATCGATTTTTTAAAACCCTGTCAATAGTTTTTCCCCATTTTAACTTTCAACAACATTTGGCCTAACCACTGTTTCCCCAATTTCTCTATCTTTGTAGAGCACGACGACGAAAGAAGCTGGCCAAGGCAATTGATCGACAAGCCCGTAAGCTGCAAGCCAAGGGCATTACCGTCGATCTGGAGGCCCTCAAAGCTGAATACATATCACAGCACAAAGCTAACGGAACATTTTCCGATTCGGATCTCGAAGATGATAGCATACAAATCGATGTTGTGGGCGGCACTGAAAGTGATGACGATTGTGATGACTTTGATTTTCGTAGTCCGCGTGGCAGTGATATGGCCAATAACAGTTATTCACCCAGTGGCAGTCCCAATGGCCTCGGTAGTCCCATGTCAAATGGTGGTGGTGTGGATACATCACGAGACGATGACAACAATAGCCAGCACCAACAAATGCACATGCAAATGCATTTACCCAACGGTGGTGGCGTTGGCGTTGGCGTCGGCACTGAAGGTTGTGATGTTAAACCATTCCTATTTCCCGGTAGAGCTACAAATTTCCAAATAAAATTACAAAACACCTCATCATCGTCCTCCTCACCCTCGCCTAATCATCATCAACAGACCTCACCAATTAGCATAAGACGCAGTAATCCGTTTAGCATAGAATCGTTGCTATTCAACAATACGTGAGTTCTATAAGCGGCAGAGCCTGGAGGTAGAAATTAACCAAAAAATTAAGAGATAACAAAATGAAAAAAACGTAAAGTGTAAAATAGTTGGCATTTAAGAAAAGAATTCCCCAAAAACACATCCAACGCCTTTTGTTTTATGACAAATTACGGCACATTATCATTGACGGAGTTATTATGCGAGAACAAAGAAAAAATCATAAGCATTAAACGACAACCACAACAACAAGTAATGTTAAATTTTAGCAACATGTTCCTTTATGTATTATACAAACCATTCCCAGTGTAGGGTTAACAAAAACATATTCCTTTAAGTGTTTTAGTTTTTTTTTTTTCATATAATATTGAAATTCCATTTTTTCCAATGTTTTATAAGGTAATTGTATTGTTTAAAACAGCATGGGTGATTAAAGTTAATGTCTTTTTTTTGTTGTTGAGGGAAAAAGTGGTAACGCCTTTTCCAAGATTCCTGTTAAATGTGGCAATATTTTCAATATTAACCAGAAGTCCATACAGTGGCCAAAATCTGATAGTGTGCTGTCATTATTTTTAATGTCAAGTAAATGGAAAAACAAATTACCTCGATATTAAGAATAATTTATGGATATTTAGGTTATAATCAAGGGCGATTTAGTGGTAATATAACTAAATATGTACAGAAGTACCATACCGTACCGCACAGACAGGCAGGCCAGCACAGTGGTTTGGTAGATTTAAGTCTCAGAAAATTTAAAAATATATATATATTTCTCAGTAGTAATTTTTCAAAGGGCTAGGGATTTCAAAGGATCTTTGATCTTTATCTACCAAAAATTTCGAAAAAAAAATCTTGAAAAAATTAGTTATCGTAAAATTGAAAGTAAATTTCCCTGGATAAAAATGACATTGATACATTCTTCCTTATAGATATTAGTGTATGTCCAATTAAATCTGATAGAAGTCAGTCAAAAATTAAATTGTTACTTTGGTTTATTCATTTTTTCCCTTAAAAATGCGTCTATTCCACGGTACACATCAATTTTTATTTTTCCTCCGGGCATGACCCCCACTTAATTTGCCAAATACATGTCCAAATAACATGGCTGTTTGTAAATTGGTTACAAAACAGGTAATAGCTAATTTCATTACAACAAAACTACAAATGAGAATATTAAATAAAAACAACAATTGACTTATGTATGTACACAGTATGCTTGTGTGCGGGTGTGTGCTTCACATGGTCAGGTGTGTAGATTTTCATCCACAATATTGGATATGGGACAATATTTGTTGTCTCTTTTTTGTTCATATTTGTTGTTGCCACATTTTGACCATGACTAATAATGGTGGAGAAACAAATTCCAGTCTGGCATATAATATAGGCCATGAATGGCTGAAGCTTTTCGTACCATTGTTGTTATAAAACTTTTTGGAATAGAGAATACAATTACCTTTACTATGCAACGGGAGTTAGACACTGAAATCTTGTAATTGCATTTATTTGAATTATTTTTAAAATAATTATTTACAAATTTTAAATGGAAACTCAGCATTTATTTTTTTTTTAATTTTTCCTCATATTTCACAAATATTTCAATGCAAAAAAATAAATTAGAGGATGTTTTCCAAAACATTCCCTAAAATGTTTCTGTAAAATTCAAATCAAAAAAACTACAAATATTTTCTATTTGCGGGGCAAAATTGAAAAAAGAAAAAAAAATAAATTGTTTTTTTAGGCCAGTTTTTCTCTTTAAATCGATGAAAAGGAAATGTTTCCTATTGCAAAACTTCGATCATTAGGCTCGACTCGAAGGTGAAAAAAACTGACTTAAAAACTCTTTCAAATGATCATCGCCCTTACAGACAAATTTCAAAAAAATAAAATTATTTTGTATTTAGTTAAAATATTACGACTTGCTTTATTATATTATATATATAATTTTGTAATCTTATTTTTAAATAAATTTCAATATTTTCCTCATGCTATTTTTGAAAAACATTTAGTAAATAAAAAACCCCGACATGAAAACATTTAATATATGTTAAATGTATATTTTTTCTTAAGACTTTTCCCACAAAACAGCAATGTTTCCTATTAATTTGTATTTATGTATGTATGTTTGTATTTATTGACACAGTATGTCTGTATGTTGATTATCCTTCTGCTCGTACTGTGTCCTATTATCACTAATAATAATATAATTGTAAATTAAATTTATTACATAAGATGTGTACAATATAAATATTACAGAAAAACTTGAAAATGCTATAAAAATTGAAAATAATATTGAAAAAAAAACGGAAATAAATTAAAACAAATATATCAAATATAAAATTGTGAGTTTTAATAAATTGGATGAAAAAAATTGAAATAAATATTTTTTATACCCTACACAACTATGTTGTCAGGGTATTATAGCTTTGTGCAGCCCCATAAGTTTGTAACCCCGCGAAAAATTGGTTCTAGACCCACCTTTAAGTATACCGATCGTCATATTTCGACTAGCTGAGTCGATCTAGGCATGTGTGTCCGTCCGTCTGTCCATTATAATTTGTAAACACGATACAGGCCACAGTTATGTACCAATCTTCACGAAATTTTGCATGTAGGATGGGTTCTGGCCAATGAAGACCCCTATTGTTTTTGGGAAAGATCGGTTAATATTTAGGGGATGAAATGGACCAAAAACTTTATTTTTGTATGATTTTCTGGTCGCTCCAGAGGCCGCAATAATGGCCCGAACATAGTGAAATTTTGCATGGAGAAGGGGATCGGGCCAAAGAATAAGCATGCCGGTTTTGATAAAGATCGGTCAATATTTAGCGGGTCAAATGTACCCTGACTTTTGTGTGACAACATTACAAAATTTGTATTCTATAGTGTATATATTTACCCCTGAAGTTGATATTATATCCAAGAGGAGTGGTTGTCCTTTAAGGGGACCCCCCCCATTCTCGAGGTCAAAATTGTTGTTGACTTAATTCCAATCTACACTAATTCAAGAATGTCCCTGCAAAATTTCAAGTTAAAATCTCAAGAACTCTTGAAGATATAGCCGATTTATTGTGTCAGCATCAAGTGACGGCTAAAGGGCTTCTCAAACTTTAAACGCGTTTTTCTCTAAACATTTTTTTGCAAATGGCGGGCACGATAACTCAAAAACTAATAACCCAATCGATTTCAAATTTTTACACGTTTCTCTGTGAGTGTATAGCTATCGTATGAACTAGGATAAAGCCAATCGGTGAAGATCTGCCTTATTTTTTAGCTTGGTTTTTGGTAAAAAATCGGCGATTTTCCAAAAATATTTTTTCAAAGGTCCGCCATTTTGTTAATTTTAGAGCGAGGTCAATAATCCTAGTTCATACGAGAGCCAGACATGTACTCTTTCCAACACCGTTGGAATTTTCGGATTCCGATGTTCCAGTGAGGAGTTATCATGCCCGCCATCAAAAATAAGGACTTTTCTTTGATCACAAAAAACAACAACAAAACAACAACAAAAATTTTTTATAAATTATTTTTCTTCTATTTTAAATCTTCAAATATATATGTGCAAAGTTGCAAACCTTAACAAGCATTGGTATTCATTTACCAGCCCATTTAAAATCTTAAAAATAAAAAATCGGGAATGGGGGGGGGGTTCCCTTAAACTAATACCAATTATATTGTTGTATGTGCTCGGATGTGGGAGTTACACCTAAATATTTACAGGTATCTCCGTATTCGTATATTATTTAGTAACCCATTTCCACACTATTTCCAGTTATGGTCAAGGACAGCGCCTATAATTTTCGGTGATGATCAAATAATAATTTTGGGATGAAGTTTACCGTAAACTTAAATTTTTTGGTATTTTTCGAAAATCACTACACAACCCACGGTGAAGGCAATTTGGACAAGTAATTACAAGGGTTGTACTGAATATTAGAAATATTCGGAAAATATGTCAGTGTATGGAAGAGGTGCTGTTGACCTCAAATCGGGAAAGAGTGTGCAAATATCACGAAATATTGCCCAGGCTCGGAATAAACATCCGCAGAAAATTTGAGTTCCGTGGTAGTTGTGTAGGGTATCGTATGGTCGGCCCCGTCCGACTATACTGCTCCGCTCACTGGTTTTAAATTGCAATTTGCCAAGGCATAACTACCTGATGAGTCCCTAAAATGTGGATAGCGAAAAACTGGTTATTATCTGGTTATTATTCGTTGGGGAGCGCAGAATGAAGAAAGTAATCTGTGACAGTCACTGATTTTCCAGAGAACGGAAAAGTACCCCTAAATTGACCAGTTTAATTGGTATCTTTTCCTCGATCCTCGTATTCACTCGTTTCCATCACATTTTTATAGTTTGGCATTTATAGGAAATATTGTAGATACAAGATCTCCTGGACATGTTGTGACTTTGCTGCGAATGTTTCCATACACCATCAATATTTCCATACAATCAGCGTCTTGTGGAGTTTAAGTTTGGCCTCTCGAGAGGTGGCGTTGTTGCTTAATTTCTCAGACCATAGTAGAATAAGTTGCCCAACACTATCCTTATCCGAATTTCAAAACTGATGTCATTAGTTTTATTTATGGCGGTACCAAGGTATATAAAATCGTTGACCTCAAATCTGGAATATTCAAGTTCCACATTTGGTCCGAGTTTTCTGGACGTCTTGCGCGTTGATGGCATCAGCTTGGTCTTCTCGCCATTTACTGCCAGTCCCAATTTAGCAGACTGCTGCTCAATTCGTTACCGCTTGCACTGTTCGACCCATTATGTCTAAGTCATCAGCGAAGGCGAATAACATATGCTGTTTGGTGTACAGAGTGTCATTTCCGTTCGCCTTTGAATCTCGTATGACCTTTTCCAGCGGCCACACGAAACCTCGTTCGGTAGGGTCCATATGAAAATGTCACTGACCATTGGCTTCAGTTGTCCGTTCCTCTATAATTGGAATACATCGCATTGTCTTATTAATGATGCACGAGATGCACAGGATGCTAAATGCAAATTGTACTAATCTGCTGGTGCATG